ATTCATACCGAGCTGATGCATGACTGCCCTCATCTTGTTTCTATTGAAAGAAGACTTGGAAGTTTCAGTTTGTTAGCAACTACCTTTATGTTAAGCTCCGTGTTTTCTTGGTAACATAAAAATATAGTGAGAGTGTCAATAATCACAAGAGGCTTTTTTTAAAATTCCAGTTAAATATTCTTTAGAAGAGAACATCAGCATCTTAGTCTAGGTTTGCTGGTATGTCACAACAGATGGCAACAGCAAGCAAACCTTGGCTAGTCTCAAAAAAAATTAAAATGTGGGTTTCGTTAATGGATAGAAGACCACTAGTACAAGGACAAGTGTGTAGATTAAACCAGGAAGTTGAAAAAAACATTCCAGAAAAAAAGATCTTCATGTTACACTGGGAAATCTACCTTGGCCATGTTCATGATGGGCCAAGGTGGATCAGAATGAGATATTTATTTAGATAGTATATAGGGCTGCTCATTTTAGATAATTCTGAGTGACTTTTCTTTTAAGAGATTATAAATTAGAATCCACACAAGAGGATTCATGATGAAGCCCTAGCTTCTGCCGGCAGAATCAAAACGTATCCTAAACAGTGGATTCTCCAGGCTGTAATAAACTTACATCTCACATATTCCATGGTAACTCTCATTTTATGCAGGTTTTTTATTACCCTGCCATTCAACTAATTAAATCAACGAGCAGGCAAAATGCTGCACTTTAAAAACACACTTTTCATATAAAATCTACCTCGGTCATCCACACAACTGGGGTCAGGAAAACATAAAGTATCATAACAATTTTAGTTTTTAAGGTACCCCAACACTATCATTTTGGGTTTGTTTTTGCTGCATGGAGCAACACAGCCACACTCCTGTAGTAGTCCCCAATTCAAGCTGTCATCTAGGTCTTCCTAGATGTGAAAACTATTTATTGCCCTTTAATGTTTGCAAGCTGCCCAGAGTAGCTTCTAGGTGAGGTGGATGGCAAACAAACAAATTAGATAAATGGAGGGGGGAGAGAGAGGGAGGGAAGGAGGGAGAGAGAGGGAGGAAGGATAGACAGATACATGATAGAAAGAGATGATACTGTGGGTATAGATGATAGGATGAAAAATAGAGATAGATGATAGATTAGATAGGATACATTAGATATAGATGATAGATAGGATTATATATATAATGGATAGAATATATATATATGTGTGTGTGTGTGTGTGGTATTCAGCTTTGTTCAGGTATTTGTTCAGGTATTTGTTCAGGTACTTGTTCGGGTATTTTCCCACGTCATTGTAGTTGTGCTTTTAAAGTTGTAGCAACGTTTCGGCAGAATCTCATCTGCCATCATCAGGCTTCTGTATTGTGTTCGTCTGTGAAAGCCTG